TGTCCCATTGTTCCTATGATTGTTTTTGTGCCAGTACCATGGTGTTTTATCACTGCTGTATTAGCTTGTATAATATAAGTTAAATTCTGGGCTTGTGATGCCTTCTGCTTCGTTCTTGTTACCCAGGATTGCCTTTGATATTCTGGGTTTCTTCTGATTACAAATACATTTTAGGACCCACACACATTTTTTACCTTTAATTTTTTTTCTAACTTTTAAATTGCAAAACTTCTGTATCATCATAGTTAAAACAAACACACAAAGAAAAAACTCACAGTGCACAAAGAATAAAGTGTCCTTGGTTATCTTCTCCCCAAGATTCTTGGATTATCTCTGAATGCTTCTAGCTATGTTTTATGCCTATAAAAATACTAATATGTATAAAGCCATTTTAATATTTAAAAGAACACGTTATATTATAGTATACATAACGTCCTGTCATTTGCTTTTTTTTACTTTGTATATTCTATTCCAACCTCTCCAGTTGACTGGTTTTTTTTTTTTTTAACTTTTCTGCTACTATAAATAATGTTATTGAGAAATTTCTTTCATATAAATACGTTTCTGTGGAATAATATCTCAGAATTTCTTAGCCAAAGGTACATACATTTTAGCATTTGAAATGTTGCCAAATTGCCCTCCAGCAAGATTGTGACAAAGTGGTCTCCCATCAGCAGTGTGTGAGAGATGATGGGTATTTTGAACATGTTTGAATCATATTCCAAATTCTCTCTAGCCCATGTCTCTCTGCTGAACTCCAGACTTGTATATTCACCTTGTAACTGATACCTCCCCTTAGAGCCTTTCCCATTTCAGGGCCAAAACCTTGGAGTCACCCTTGAGTCTTCTCTTGTCCTCATAATTCCCCCACCCCAAGTAAACACTGCTGACTCTATCTTCAGAGTGTCTCCAGAATCCGCCACTTTTCACGACCTTCACTCCTGCCATGGAGATCTGAACCGCCACCAGTCCTACCGGAATGACTGACGATGGGAGTCTCCTCCCTAGCTCTCTGCCTCAATAACTGTCCTTCCACATGGCTTCTCTTTCCATCAGCCAAAGGGATCCTCTTAAAACATGAATTACAGCGTGTCTCTCTGCAGCTTCAAACTTTCCAGGTGCTTCCATTTCTCCAGGGCCCAAGGTCCTTGCCTCTCCGTCTTCTCCCATTATCCCGCCCTTCACTCTCAGCCATGCTTCTGCCTCAGGTCACTGGTGCTCGCTGGTCCCTAGCTGGAGTCCTCTCCTGAAGGTATCCCTAAGGGCTTTGCTCTCTCCTCTCCTTACAGTCTGCTCAAATGTCACCTTTCCCATAAGAGCCACCCCAGCCAACCTATTTAAAATTTAAAACTGCCCCATTTCTAGATTCCTTTACCCGACTTTGTATTTCATTTCCTTATTGCCTTCTAATACACTATACAATTCCCTTATGTTTGTGACAGTGTCTCTTTCTTTTCCATTAGAATTCAAGCTCCATGGATGGCAGGGGTTTTGTGTGTTATGTTCACTGATGACTTCCAAGCCTCCAGAACAGTGCCTAGTACACAACAGGTACTCAGTGAATACTTGTTGAATAAGCAAAATAGCAGAAGTTTTCAAATGGGAGTTTTGGTGCATCTTTCAGTTCACATCTTCTTTAAATGTCTCTTTACCCAGGACCCAAAGACAAATCTTCTGAGTGTTCCTGCTCACCAAACACTGTATCTGCTGTGAGGTGGGGAGGAGGTAAACACCTACACTTGGTAAACAGTGAAATAAGACTCAAAGTTATGTTTACAAATGAATACACAATGAAATCCCCAAATAAAAGGACCCAGGATCTAGATAAGCAGCACAGCTTCTTCCTAGAAAGTGCAAGGTCCTGAGTTTAATTCTTGGTACTGCAAAAGAAAAATCCCTACATATAATTATGGAAAAGTAACCGTAAGTAACCCGATCCTCCCTTGAAATTACCAAGAGGCCCCACAATCTTAGTGTCCATTGTGGTGTCCTGAATCCCCACATGGTCAGCAATGTCTTTCCATTATGCTTTGAAGACCCTGCCTTTGGCAGAGCTGCCCACTTGGGAGAGGAGCCTTCACTTTTCCCCCTAATGCACTGGGCTGGGGTGAGGTTTTTCACCCCTCCTAAAGCAACAGTTGGGCATATAGCTCAGTGGCACAAGCGCCTGCCTGGCAAGAGCAAGGTTCCAAGTTCAATTCCTGGTTTTAAAAAAAGGAAAAAAAGGCACAGGAGCATGTCTGTGACCAAGAGCACCTGTGGCCAGAAGGACACTGAGAGGAGGCCAGGAAGGGTATGGATCTCAGGAGCGAGAGTTGTAGCTCCAGTCCCTCTGCAGGCATTTATTTGTGCCAGATATTGTACCTAACGTGTATTATTTCAGCCTATTCCAAAGATGATAGTATCCCCTAACTGTAGAGCTCAAAGGAGTGAAATATCTCACAGCAGGAAACTGTAGAGCCAAGATTTTAACAGCCTCTTCACTCCCAGAGTCCTGTGACATGACCTGTAAATGGAGGGAGGGGAAAGAATAACCCTTGGCCACCTCACCTACTGAGGAGTGCTAGGTGTGAGTTTCTCAAGGGAGGGGTTGGTGAGGGCCAACCCTGAGCCACATGGAGCCTGACTATCCCGAAAGCTGGCATTCTTGGGTTGATAATACCCACTCCCAGGGTCCAAGAAAGGGGCAAAGGAGTGACTTGAAGCAGCACTGACCCCAGCACTGGGTCCCTTTTACCTGACCCCAGTCATCTCAGAAATCCCCTTCCACTCCTCTGACACACTGAAGGCTGACTGGACAGATTAGGAGTGGTGAGAACTCTGACTGGAACTCTGCCATTAGAGAGCTAGTCCTGGGCATGCTTGGACCCTCTGTGCACACAAACTAAGCCTGCCACAGAGCCTTATGAGTCACTAGGCTTCCACATCTTGCAGAGGTGACTGAAAACTGGGTTTTGAGAAGGGTAATTTAGAAACCTCGTCAGGGCCCAGCCCACACAAAAGGCCTTGGGAGTTAAGAGCAAAGGGAAATGAATCCAGCAACTTTTTGGTTCAGTACAAAGCCTCTAGCTGTGCTTCCCTGCCACCAAGCCCAACACACACAGTCACAGCACACAGAACAGAGCAAAATGACTCCCTGCCTAGGAGCAAGAGGAGGGCAGACAGTTGGAGGGGTAGAGGGAGAGGGCTGCAGTGAGGCTGACCCACAGGTCAGCAAAGCTCTCAGAAGGGTGTGGCCTGGCATTCATTTCTGGCAAAACCTGACTGCACGGGTCATCTCTGAGTCAGCTATGCCTATCCTGCCTAACAATCCCAGGCCAAGGAGGAGGCTTCAGCTCCTATGTGTGGACTGGAGGCCAGAAAAGGGTCTGTTTGAAGTAGGTTTAGGGTACTGAAGAACCTGCTGCAGCCCCACGATAAGAATGTGGGACAGAAGGAGGGCCCAGGGTCCTAGACAATGCCCTGTTTTGGGCGTGAGGATGCTGCAGGACTCAGAGTTGGAAGAGAACATGAAGTAGGTCTCATGATGCATACAAAGCCATGCCCACTATTGGATCAGAATTTCACTGTGTCTCTGCCTGGGAAGAGGAGGTGGGGTTGAGGAGGCTTGACTTGCTGGGGAGAGGCTGGCATGCTCCAGGGATGTCGGAGATCCAGAGGGGAGACTCCAAGACTCAAGGAGGCCCTTGCAGAGCAGGGCTTTGATGAGAGGGTAGAAGGCAGGTGAAAGCAGAAAAAAAAAAAAAAAAAAAAAAAAAAAAAATCCCTCATCCTCCTCACCCTGGGCTGGGGTGCCAAAGCGAGGCCTGCCAGAACGGAATTGTTCATTTGTCCACGAGCACAGAGTATGATCCTCAGCTTGTGGAAGGGCAGCTAAGGAGTTCTACCCAAAGGAGCAGGACCAGAATTAAGAGTGGGATAAAAGGCCAGCCTCCATGGGGTGCGGGGGCTTCCACAGCAGGGAAGTGCTCTCCAAAGCTCCACAATGCTGTGCTTCTCAACTTGCAGCCCTGGAAAACTGTCTGCAGCCATTTCTCAGTCTTTAACAATGCCACCTAGTCCTGGTTGCACCGAGCAGAGGAGCTGAGGTGAACAAGGCCTTCTCCTTCCTCCAGGAAGGGACCAATTAACTTCTCCTAGACTCTCAGTGCCGTAATCAGAGTAAATTCACCGCAAAAAACAGAATCCAGATCCCAAAAGTCCCCTAGAGGTTTCCGACATCCAGAGCCCTGCTCTCCCCAGGAACTCGTCCAAGGGGTCACGGGCAGGGGATCCCTGGACCTTCCCTGGATATTTAACACTTTCCATTAAGAAGAGTGTCTGGGTCTCAAGAACCGAAGGGTTGTGTCCATTTGGGGCCCCTTGATAGGCAGTTCCAGTAGGTGGCCACCCAAGAAGAGATCTGGAAATCCTGCTCCCTCTGCTGCACAGATCACTAGGCTTCGAGGCATAAAAGGCTCAAAAAAAAGCTTCTAACTTGCTACCCCACTCCCACGAAAAGCAGCTAGGCTTAGAAATTCCCCAGCAAGAATCAGGGATTCTCCTTTGGACCAGGTCCACGTCTAGCTCTCTAAAGACCTCCCAATCAGTGCCCGAGCACCCATTTTGCAGAAGGTAAAGACTCTTCTTCGGGGAGCCGCAAACACCCGCCCACACGATGCGGCTCCAGTGCAGCAACTCTGCTCCAGTTGGACTTTTCGCCATCCTTGCCTTGGGATGAGGCCGGATTCTTCCCAGCACTACTCCAGCACGGCCAAGCACTCTCAGGCAGGGCGTGGGGTCCGCGGCCGCAGTAATAACAGGGCCTGCGACCCGAGGGAAGGCGGAGGTACAGGAAGCCAGAGGGATCTGACTATTTCGGGCCTGGGCACACCCACTGGCCCGGCCAGGGTTGGCGGGTGTTCCAGGCCCCGGGCTCGGCCTGTTCCCAAGTCCCAGAGGGGGCGGGGAGCGCAGCGGGCTGGGAGGCCTGGGGGGGCGGGGGCGCGGGCTCGGGGGCGGGGCGGCGTCCCGGCCACCGGCCTCCTTCCACCGCCGCGCATTCGGGGCCGCACTGCGCCGCGCCCCGACTCCCGCTCACTCGAGCCCGCCGCGCGCCCGCTGAGGCGCCGCCCGACGGGCATGGACCCGGGCCGCGACTTCCTGAGCCTGCACGGTGAGTGCCCGGCCTGCGTGGCAGGGATCCTGCGGCCCCCCGCCAGCTGTGAAGCTCTCTGCCACGCGGAGGAAATCCCAGTTCGCCGCCCCGGTGTGGGGCTCCTCGAAGCCCCTGCGCGGTCCCAGACGTCCCCACGTCTGGCCTGCGCGGTCGGGGCCGGCGCGGGTGTGTGGCTTCCTTTTCGGGGACTCCGCTTTATTCTGCCGCAGAAGGCTGGCTTTCACAAAGCCCGGATCTCGCGCAGAGGCTGAGGGAGGAAACCGCGTTCACCAAAGCCTGCTTCCCCGCCGGGCCGGGCGGTCCTGGAGGCTCCGCAGAGCCCTGGCGGCAGACGGGCTGCCCCGCGTCGGGCTGCGCGGGTGTGGCGGGCGGTGGGGCGGGGAGGTCTGCGAGTGTGGCGGAGGTCGGAGGCAGCGCTTTTAACTACCCTGGGCCAGCCGGGAGGAGCAGCGAACCTGAGCCACCCGTCGCTGCTCTAACTCTCTGCTGTTGCTGCTGCTGCTGCTGCTGCTGCATCCTTTGTCCAGCCGAGCTTTGTTTCCGCCCTTCTGGGTCAGCTTCTCGCCTTGCTGTGGTCGCTACAACGGAAAGGAACCTGTGCCCCTGGCTGCAAGGTCTGGAGGCCTCCGGGAGCGGAGGGGAGCGACCCAGTATCTCTTTGCTTCGGGCTAGGAACTCGCCCACACTTGGGGAGGTTTTCCCCTCCTGTTCCCCGGGATCACCTGCCAGTTCCATAAATCCTGTCCCTCTGACACCCATCACCACTTGACTACATATCCCTGTCTTTTCCGATGTCTTGAGAATTGAGGCTTTAGTGTCTGCCCACCATCCATTGGTCTAAACCATTTGTGAGATAATTGATGGATAAGAGAAGGGCAGAGCCCTCCCACCTTCAGTTCAGCCCTCCTAAAGATGTGCCCGTAGTCCAGCCCCCTCTCTCTGTGATTCTCAGTACACGCCCAGGGCCCAGAAAAACCAGGTTAGGATTTCTCAAAGCCACCTCTTTCAGCTGGGTCCAGGGATCCCTGCCCCTTCCATTGTTCCATCTCTCTTCAGACCAGAGGCATTGTTAGTGCTCCTGACACACCAATGGGAAGGGAGCTGGGGGGGGGGGTCGCAGGAGACCCTTGCACTCTCTCCAACCATGCATCGGCTAGCTAGCCCTCTTTTTCCATGCCTTCCCTTCACATAAATCTTCTCAACCCCTCCAGTTGCCTCTACCCAAGTGGCAGCCTCAGATGCTGTTAGAGTGGTCTCCATCCTGGGTGTCTACATCTTTGCCCGATTTCTCTCATCTTTCCCCTGGCGGAAAATATGTGAAGGCTCAGTCAAAGCCTCCCAATCTGGTGCCAGAGGTTGGCCACCCTGACTCATCCTGTGTAAGGCGAGCCTCTCAAATGCATGACTCAGCCCAGCCCTTCCTGCGGGGCTGGCATAAACACTGTGAGCCCAAACTGTTCTCTCTGAAGGCCTGCTGCTTCTAGCTCACCATCCCAGATTACCTCCATTAATTACCCTCTCACCACACTGCAGACCCGATGGGGAGGAACCTGCCAAGGAGAACTGGTGATGGAAGGGGTGCCCTGTGCTGGTCCAGGCTGTCTATATTTCCATTGCAGAGTCTTTTCACACTGTAGATCCCACACAGCACCGGACATGTGTTGTAGAACTACACTCTGGCTTGGCCAGTTGCGGGTCTGTGGCAGGAATGCCCACTGAGATCTCCATTTACCTGAGATTTACAGGCTGTCCTAGATGAGGTATCCTTTCTGTCCTCCCATATGCATGCAAGAGGCAATGTTGTATAATGGTATTGATTCTGGAGACAGAGTACCTGAGTTCAGGTTTGGCTGTATTGTGTCACACAAACCCCTTTGTTTCTTTGTGCCTCCATTTCCTCATCTGCAAAGTAGAGCTAAACACTATCTACCTCAAAGGATTAGGGTAAGGACTGAGTAAGGTAATATAAGTAGTACCTGGTATCCAGAGAGCACTGTGTTCTTTTTTTTTTATGAGCACTGTGTTCTTGTAGGATGCCCCTCCTCAAGTTACCATGCCCTGTCAACTGCTATCTTCAGTTCTTTGGGAGATGCTGGGGCACCCTAGGGGAGTCCCTAGCCAGGAAAAATATAACCAAACTGGATTCAGGAACCAAGGAGCACTTTCTGGTACCTCTGAAGCTCTCCAATTGCTCCTACAGTTCCATCCTCCTCTCACCCACACCTACCTCACTTCCTCTGATTTTCATACTTTAATTAGGCTTGGACTAGCTTCTCTAGCAGGTCTCAGATGTGCCTCCCAGACATCACCTCCCAGGACCCCCACTCCTTCACTGATCACATTCACTGCCACTAATTTTTCCTATACCTGGTCCCTCTTGCCCTACATCAAGAACTGGCATTGACGAAAATCTAAGGTAAAGGGACCTCATATTGGCCTCAGGAGATTGGGGTCCAATTCTGGCTTTGCTTTGACTTATGTGTAATCCCTTTGCCTTTTTGGGCTGGTTTTCTCACCCATGGGATAGCAATACCTATTTTACAGATCTTGAGAGAATGGGTTTAGGACTCCTAGTTGTCCAAAAAGCCAGTCTCCCCAAGATATGTCCAGCTGCTAAACCCTTGTTTGAGAGCGATGTGTGTGTGTGCCCTTGCAATCAGATGAAGCCTATGGACCCACTTGGGATTGTGTTTTTATTATTTTATTTATTTTTATGTTACCAGGTATCAAACTCAGGACCTTGTACTTGGCAAGCAGGCATTTGTACCACTGAACTATATCCCAGGTCCGGGATCATGTTTTTAAATGCATGCTATTGCACATAACTCAGAGGAAGGAAGTTACATTGAACCCCTGCATGGTTTCTCTGTAATGTGGGATACACTGCCACACCAAATGAACTGCTTTTCTGTATCCGTACTGAGGTACCTTACTGGTTCTTCTCTGTGGTGTGACCTAAAGCAAGTCACTCTGCACTTTGGTTTTTTGTTATTATTACCATGCTTTTCTGTGCCCAAAGCTGGCTTTGCTACTGACTCACTGTTTGTGCTTCAGTGAGGCCAATCTGGGAACTCTTCAGAGGCAGACAGTAAAAGAAAAGTGAGTCAGGCCCTGGGTCGTGTCCTGACCTTGGCACACAGTAGGAGCTCAGTAAATAATTGCTGGGTGAATGAAAGGGAAGTTGTAATGCACATGAAAGGACCTACTGTTACCCCACGCACATGGGCAGCACAGTTCTGTACAAAGTTACTGACGCTCTCATCTATATTCATCAAGGCAAGCCTGAGTTAATAGGCTTCTTTTAAGGTCAGCATTTTTCTTTTTCCCCCTAAGACTTCCATTTGCATCTGGGGACACCTTGGAGATTAACTCCACTCAGATGAGAAAAGTGAGAAAAGAAACAGGTTTGCCTAAAGTTCACAAAGTGTGGTTACTGCAACGTAGATCGCAATGAATTCGTTGAATAAACAACATTAAAATACTCGGTGGGTTCTGTTCCCTGGCCCAGCCGCAGTCCCCAGCTCTGCTTGGCCCCGTCCGATTCGATTCTGAGCTAAACTCTGCAGCCTGCCAAGAACTTGCGCCCGTAGCTCTATCCTCCACCCACCTCCCGCGGCCCCGGAGTGGTGGACTTCCCCGCTTAGGTTCTGCCCCGCACTGCCTCCGAAGCTGAGGTTCGTCCCTCCCTGAGGGGACAAGCCTTGCCACCGCGGGATGCTCCGGGTCTCGCCTCCCAGGCCCCGGCACCGCCCCGATCTGCTTCCGGGATGTGCTTCGCTAGCACGTCGCCTCCCGGGCAGGATCTCCTGGTTTGAATTTCGCTTCCCTTGCCCGATTCTTCTCGCAGAGGTTGGCTTTCAAGCTTGCTAAATTTGGATTCGTCCCACGCTTGCCTCCTGAGCCCGGCCCCTGGTCAGCCCTGCCTACTTGGCTCTAGTTCCATCCTCCCGCCCCTTTCCCCGCCCCTTCCCCGCCCCTCGCTCTGGCCCCGCCCCTTTGCCAGATTTTCTGTCGCGGAATCCGTCAGGCTGCGGCTCCGCCCCGTACACCGCCCCTCCTCTCCGGTTCGTCCTTTCACCGCTGGTCTCTGGGCGGTTCCACCCCCTGGAACCAGGCAAGCTTCTAGGGAACGCCCTGTCCCGGTTCCTCCTTCGCTGTGGCCCAGTAGAACACCATGCAGTGCCTGGGCAGCCGCAGCCGGAGCCGGAGCCGCTCCAGGGAGCTTTACCTGCTGGAGCAGAGCCTGAAGGAGGCGGCGCTCAATGGGAAGAGGCTGGGTAAGGGGTGTGGGGGACACTGAGGGGTTGGGAAAGCAGCTAGGACCACTTGTCCCTGGGTGTCACCTACCTTTGATTGGACTTGGAGCCTTTGTTTCCTTCTGCGGGGTTATCCCGCGGTGGCAAGGTTGCAGTGGTGGCACGTGGAGAAGTAGTGGGGGGAAGATGCCTACGCTGACCTACCTCCACCCATCCAGAACTCAGCACCCCTTATCATCCCAAACCAGGTCTGCTAACAAATTTCCGAGGCCCCGCTGAACATACGGGCCGGAGTGTAACTGGGGTGACTATGCCCCCATGAGGTGATGTGCAGGACTGTGTGTGCCCCAGTGTGATGCTATGCAAGTGTGCACCTGCCTGTATGTGGTGAGTGTCTCTGTGGATGATCCAGTACTGTCACACCAGTGGTCCTGTGGGCCGCTGTGTAGTGGTGCGTAATGAAGTGTAACCAAATGTGTGACAGTGTGGCACCCGGGTGTCCGCACGTAACATAGTGTAACACTGGTCCAATGTGATTCTGTGCAGCTGTGACTGTATGACAGCAGCAGGCCACTCAAAATGACTGAGTTATTCTGTCATTTTGTGTTACATTTGTGCTGTGTGGAATTTTTGATGCTATTACTCTGTAGCAGGGTATTCCTGGAGTGGTGGCTGCATAAAGTAATATTTCATAGCACAAGCAGCCTGCTTCTGAGTCCTAACTCCACCATGCAACTTCCCTTAGCCTCAGTTTCCTCATCAGTAAAATGGGGATAATGATTCTACTTTCCTTATAGAGCTGTTGAGGGATTAAACACAGGTGCTGCCAAGAGTATCATATTCAAATCTTAACTATTATTATGGTGGCTGCTGTTATCATGATCACAGTAATGATACTTTGGTATGTGGCTGTGTGTGACTGAGGTAACATTGCACAAATCCATGTGACAGTGTATAGTTTGGGGGTATAATGTGGCTCATTGTCTCTGGCATTGTGTGATTGTGTATGGTGGCGTGCGTCAGGGTATCTGTGTGACTATATCCCAGGAGCTGTGCACTGTTGTGGATCCCAAGCCACTATTATGTCTGGCATTGTGTGATTGTGTATGGTGGCGTGTGTCAGGGTATCTGTGTGACTATATCCCAGGAGCTGTGCACTGTTGTGGATCCCAAGCCCAGGGTATCCTCATTATGCATCACCTTAGGGACAGGTGCTTAATTGGCAGGTCTCCTGACACCATCCAGCTTCCCACTGGCCCTTGAAGCACCCTCCATGCCCTGCTCCTCACCACCTCCCTAGGCAGCTAAGCTGAGCAAGTTAGTAAAGAATCAGTCCTGGGCCTCGGAGCTCAGAGCCCCTTGCCAACCTCCTACAGAGGAGAAGGTTCGGCAGTTGAGCGAGTGGAGCTCGATGAAGAAGTCCACAGACTCAGCATGCCCACAGAGCAAAGGCAGAAGGGTAGGCAGCCCAGAGGCCTTGGAAATAGAAGGGCCCCCACTGAGACTAAGAAATGGAGGCACCTGCCCCAGTTTCCCAGTGGCCTGGAGAGCAATGGCTCACCTTTCTGGGATTAGCATATCCCACCTTGGCACTGTTAGCCTAGGGCTTATCTCTGTCTGACCACAGACAAGGTTGCAGCCTGGCTCCGGGACAGGATGAGCATGTCATCACTTAGTTGTGTTTTTTTAGAACAGGAGGGTGGAGGTCACCCTCTACTTCCTGACACCCCCATTCCCATCAGACCTGTCAACCGTGGCTTGCCCTGAGGTGTGGCAGCTTAGGGGGTGGGGTGCTGGCAGATGGTAGATATTCCTGCCAGTTGTACTAGAGCCACAGGAAGGACAGTGGAATCTCCCAGCAGAGGCCAGACATGGCTCTCTCTCCTGAGAACTCTCTTACAGTCCCTGTAGTACTGGGTCCCTCAGATGCAACAGTTCAGAACATTCTGTGCAAACCCCTTTCTCTTCCACTGTGTGCGGTGAGCAGACTCACCCCTGGTGAAGGAAAAATGTGCATGCTAAGGCAGAAATGGGTAAACAGGTGTGTAACAAAGGTGTGGTAAGCTCACATCAGACCATCACCTTCAAGAGCTCTTCTCACTGCAGGGCTGATGAGAGAACCAAGAGAAGGGACAGCGAGGGAGGTACAGGAGAAGCCTAGAAGCTGCCTAAAGCCGTAGGAGAGTGGATGGTGTGAGTCTCAGTTCTCATTGGAAGTGAGAACATGGGTAAAGACAGAGAAGGTGTAGTAACAAAGGCCCAGGAAAGTGATCCAGAAGATCATGTGGGCCCTTGTAGATTTGTGGAGCAGGCTAGCTGGGGCCAGGGAAAATGGGTCAAATAGGAGAAGATATCAGAGTTTGGGGATCTGGGCTCAGAAAAGAAAACAGATGTGGCTTCGTGAGGGCTCCCCAAGGAAGGCCTAGGCGCAAGCCCTCAGACTAGACCCTTGGGTCCCTGATGCCAGCACTTTGCTGGAACAGCAGGGCAGAGATTCCTGACTGGCTACATAGTTTTTGAGAACAGAGTTGAGGTTGTCAGTTGGTTCTCAACAGAGCTGACTGCTGAGCTATACATGGTAGGGTAAGACTCACACAGCCTTATACATGTGTCTATCTCTGTGTTACCTTGAGGGATTAGTAAGGTGCCAGGTGAAAGTCTCCTTTATCACAGTTGATACAGTTCTGTTGGGGAGCAAGGCCTTCGGAGAGGTCAAGCTTTGTGTCCATTTGGTGCTTCCTTTTGGGGCCTGGGCATCTTTGGAAGCCCATGCCTGGAGCAACAAAAGAACTGGAGGTGGGACAAGCAGCCAGGTTCTGGCCTCTCTGTGGGCTTTGCCTCAGCTTCATTGTGCCTTAAGGGGTCCCAGACCCGGGGCTCTTGGGGATGGCAGTGGGGTAGGAAGAGACAGTGCAGCCCAGAAGGCTAAGTATAAGGTGCACTGGTCTCACTGTTCTCTTATGTGAGCAACGATTAGAGACCTACTCCAGTAGACTAGGGATGGGGGGAGCAGGGAAGAGGGATGGTAGGGATAACAAAGGGTCCCACAGCAACCCCGTGTTGATACCAAGAGCTTCACCTGCTGTTGCTTCAAGATCTCCACTGATTTGTAGGTCATCTCATTTAAACCTAGATTTTTCTTTGACATGGATACTATTATCTCATTTTATAGACAGGAAAACAGAGGCCCTGCCCCATGGAGTCACTTACCCAGGTCACACAGCCAGTCAGAAAGGATGCCAAATCCTAGACACAAATCAGGTTTAGCTCCTTCATGCACTGAGGTTCATTTCCATGTCTTAAATTAAGGAAGAGGTTTATTTCTAGTCACAGTTTATAAGGGTTTCAGTTCATAGTCTACTGGCTCCCAGGCATGATGGCATGGCAGAGGGGCGTGGTGGAGGAAAAGTTGCTTGCCTCTTGCTGATGGGAAGCAGAGAAGGAAGAGAGGAGCTAGGGAGGAAGGTAAACCCTCCCAGAGTGTCCCCAGTAACCTGCCTCTTCCAGACATCACCTCCCTACAGCCAATCAACTGTAAATCCCTGTGAGCCAATCACCTTCCAAAAGCCCCCACTGTGAGTACATGAAGCTCTTGGGACATCGAGGTATAAGCCATCACAGCGACTGCGTCTGCTCTTCTTCCCTGCTTTGCCTGATCTTTTAGTCCCAGCTTCCTTCAATTCACTCTGACCCCTGTGTGAGACCAAGAAGGATCCACCTCATCATTTAGAGCCAATTTCCTAACATCCTGATCCTCCAGCAACCACGGAATCCTGAATTAGTTCCCTTCCTTTGCCCATCCAGCTGTGGGTAGAGTGGTCACAGTACATAAGTGTGATCCTGGGTTGGCAGTTTTCACGCTATTTGCATAGACACCTCAGCTGATGATCAGAGAAGCCCTCTGTAGGAGGCAGGATCTCTTGGAATGTGGGTGGAGGGGGACAGTATACAGAAAGCTTAAGATACAGCTTGGAAAAGCTGGCTCTGGAGGGTCCAGGCATGGGCATGCCCAGTATGGCACTGAAGGCAGCAGAGACAGTGGTAGAGGAGGTGGTTTCTTACTAATATTGGCTCCCTAGGCCTGCAAGATGACAAGGACCTACAGGCTCTACTCAAGGGCAGCCAGCTCCTGAAGGTGAAGTCCAGCTCATGGCGAAGAGAACGTTTCTACAAGTTGCAGGAGGACTGCAAGACCATCTGGCAGGAGTCCCGCAAGGTCATGAGGTCCCCAGAGTCCCAGCTATGTGAGTGTTCTTGGGCCACAGGGAAAGGGGTAGAGCACAGGTGGGGTGGGAATCCATTGTGGTCCATGACCACGGCCTGATGGTTCATGCAAGCTGGACCAGAAATGAGGAGACAGCCTGGCTGGGGTCAGAAGAGGAGCTGGTTAAACCACTTCTACGAAAATGGAGACCCAAAATGAGTTAAAGGTGGGAATCAGGGAACAAGGACCACAGTGTTAAAACTCTTTGGGGTTGGGAATACACAACCATCACAACGAATGAGCTTACACTCAGGGAGGAACCTGGACAGGGTTGACTGAACTCACATGCAGATGACTGAACCCATGCAGAGGTGAGAAGGAAACAAGTTGAGTGGATTAGTATTTCGGGTGTGGTAGGCCAAAAGCTAGGCCCAAAGTCCAGAGGCAGATAAGGCATGTCTGGTTGAGGTGGGGCCACAGGAAGAGATCTTCACTGAGACTTGAGCCTAAGAGGTTGGGGTGGAGCAAGGCTGGGGTGCAAAAAGCCCAATGCCATGCTCTTTCAAGGATATGGGCCTGAGAGCTTTCTGGAAACTCCAGAAAAGGCCCAGGAATCTAAGGCTGGGGCAGCAAATGGACAGTCTGACCTATGATGCCTTAAGGAGGAAGCTCTGGTGTCTTTTTCCCTTTAATGCAGGAGTTCCCTAAAAATTTTGTAAAATGAGGTATCCCTTCTACACTTTTACTTGATGGAAACATTTTGGACCAGTGTGATCCAGAAATGTTATCTGCACTGCCCAGTATGGAAGCCACCAACCACAAGTGGCTGCTCAACCCTTGAAATGTGGCTGGTATGACTAAAGAAGTGAGTTTTTAAATTTATTTTGATTAATTTGTATTTAAATGACAGGTGCAGGTTACTACTCAGATGGACAATGCAGATAGGAACTTGCAATCTGGGTTTCCCAAAGCCCAGACCCCTGGAAAGCCCTTGCCCCTTCTTCTGCTCACCCTGGAGTAGGGGTGGGCAGGGAAGCAGGACGAACTGATTGGCAGGTCTGTGGGAACAAGACCACCCCCAGTGACAGACTCTAGGTAGAGGGAAAGCATAGCATGAAGGAGAGGGTCAGTCCTAGGTACGCATATGTGTGTTACCTTTTACCTAGGAGGGATCTGCCAGGCTCCTGGGAAGAACCCAGAGAAGGTATGGCCCAAGGTTAGGCAGGACAGGAGTAAGACAGATAAAGAGAACATCAAGGGTCCTTAGGCTGTGCGCTATGAAGGCTTCTGAGCAGAGCCAGGAAGGGTCTGGAGAGATGAGGCTCTTAAGTGCTCTCACCAAAACACCCTGAGCCCCTGTCTGCCTCCCTGTGCATGAGTGATCCCTGACCTTCCCTCTGCATATGGCGCCAGACAGCCTCCTTCCCTGGGCTCCTGACCTGATAGTGGGTTTCCTGTTAGATACTGACCAGTGGGGACACATTGGGAACAGGGATCTTATGCTTGGAGTTCACCCCCTGCCAGTACATATCCTGGCTCACCAGTGTGTGCCTAGAGCTTGGTGATAGATGGGTGAGGGAGCAGGGAGAGGAGCAGCAGATCGAGGCAGGAGCCCCCGGTTGAGCTGGCAATAAGAGCCTCATTCTAGGAAGGCTGTGAGCAAAGGACAGGAAGTGCGTTTCAACAGGAGCCCCAGCATGGAGGGCGGGGGCAGCACATCTGAGTGACCTGCTGAGGGCCCTGCCCTGAGGAAGTGAGGGCAGAACCAGGTCTGGGAGGCCGATGTGCTCAGGTAAGGAGCGTGGCTGAAGAGGCTTTCTTCCAGATCAGAGACCTCTGAGACAGGTCTCTCCTGCTTCCCTGTTTGGGGTGCATTGTAACTTAGTTGTCCCCAACTGCACTTTATCTCACTAAAGAAGGGTGGAGCATCCCCCATTTCTCTTTGGCTCTGCTTCTTGCTCCCCCAAACCCACATTTTCTGCCCATGCCTGACAGCTTCCCAGACAGACAGGTTTTATTAGCATCAAGGGGAGCTGGACTTCTGGGGAGGTGGCGCCTGGGTCTGGAGGTTCCACAGCCCAGGCTTCCTGTTTCCATTCCCAACCTAGAGCAGCTGCAGCTTTCTAGTGGGGCACAGAGGGATTAGGCAGGGATGTGCACCCCAGTTGGCTCAGGGCTCACGCATCCCACTCCACAGGGCAGACTTCTAGTCACAGCCAGTCTAGGACTAAGGACAGTTGGGTGAGGATGGCGCAGGGTGGGAATGGAGCAGGGCAGAGCCTGGATCCCGCTGCGGGGCAGCTCAGTGTAAACCTGGCTGCTGAGACTGGCTCTCAGCCGGGCTCCAGTGGACACGAGGGAGTGGGAGTGGTAGATATATAGGATCTTATCCCTCCCTCAAGCCTGTGGACTGTGGACTGTGACAGGAGGGCCTTCCCCTGGCTGCCAAGCGCAGAATGGTAAGATCTCTCAGACCTCTGAGGGACCACCTCCATGCTGTCTCACAGGACTCTAAAGGGCAGGGCCTTCTTTCCTGCAGCCGTCTGCCAAGAGGCTCCATGAAGTCAGCACACACAGACACACACCAGGCAAGGACTTATCCATGTTCTCACACAAGTACTGCTACTTCTGCTTTTGGTCTTTTTGTTACCAGACCCCAAGGTCAGGGCTGACTGGGTAGCTCAGGAAGGGGGCCTGGAGCCTCTTGGCTGTGGGAGGGACAGGCCCAAGGTCCAGTACAATCAGGACCCTATATGTCTCATCTCTTGTCTGTGCCTAAAAACCTGCCCTGTCCTAGTCCTCTCCCAGGGGCTCTGCTCCCTCCATTAGGGAAGCAGCTAGCCTGGGGTCCTAGGTGCCCTTGCCACCCCAAGGTCCCTGTCTCTCCTTCCATTCTGCTCACTGTGATTGTCTCATGCTCTGTCTCCACCTCAGTCTTTGTTCTCCTCTTTCCTCTTGCTCACCCCTCCTCTGTCTGCCTGCTGTGTAGACTCAAGGCCTCAGCTCTGGACTGAGCTGTGTGTCTGGCCTGGGCCCCTTCAGTATGGCCTTGAGCATGTCAAGGGCAAGGATTGCCCTCACACCATGCTCTGCACCCCACCCTCACTATCTCCTTGTTTCAGTCTCCATTGAGGACATTCAGGAGGTACGGATGGGGCACCGCACAGAGGGCCTGGAAAAGTTTGCCCGTGATGTGCCTGAGGACCGGTGCTTCTCCATTGTCTTCAAGGACCAGCGCAATACACTAGACCTCATTGCCCCATCACCAGCCGATGCCCAGCACTGGGTGCAGGGTCTACGCAAGATCATCCACCACTCAGGTTCCATGGACCAGCGGCAGAAGCTGCAGCAGTATCCTCTTGGTTGGTCTCTAGACAGCTGATAGTTGTCCTTTGGGCATCTGAATGTGGAAGCTGGCTTTATCAATTTGGGCTGCTATAACTAAATACCATAGCCCAGTCGTCGTGAACCTATGGTACATGTGCCACAGCAGGCTGTTTGTATCATTGAAAGCTCTGAAAGGTTCACCACCACTGTCTTAGATGAAGTGACTTATACAAGAGAACCTTATTTTCTCAATCTGAAGGTTAGAATTCCAAGATCAGGGTGACAGTGTGGTGAGAGTAGGGTGAACACTCTTTTCCCGGCTTTCATATGGCTTGCCTTGTGTCCTCACATGGCAGGAACACAGACAGAAAGCGTTCTGGTATCTCTTACAGAGGTACAATTCCACTTTTTATTAAATTAAATACTCCCAAGGCCCCATCTCCAAATACTGTCACATTGGAAGTTCGGGCTTCAGCATATTATTTCAGGAAGACACAATTCAGTGCACAGCAGAAAGGAGATGGGGAAAGTCCATGGCCCCTTCTTTACCCTGACCGAAGGCCAAGCAGCGAGGCGGCTCTGTGGGTCTCTGCAGGCACCACTGTAAGTAGTGTGGAGCCAGGAGTCTGGGGAGGCCGAGGGCAGCACCCCACTTCAGTGGAAGACCTAGGGTAGGAACTCTAGGTGTGTTTTCTGAAGATACTACATATTTTCTGTCTGGAAGTTGGGAGGCCATGGTTCCTTTCTGTGCCATTCTTTAGGGAATAATCACGTTTTCCTGGGGCTTGTTTTCAGAGAAGCCTATGGGCTTAAAACAAAGTTTTAAGTTTATGATAGTTTATAATTCAAAGTTCAGGTTTCTGTCATGAATGGATGAGGGTGGAACCAGGTCCAGCACCCTTTTTAATGACAGTTGTACTGAGATATAATATGCCATACAATTAACCCATTTAAAATCTTGAATTTGATTCTGTGTTTTTAGTATATTTATAGAGTTGTGTAGCCATCCTCAGAATCATTTTCATCATCCTCAATAGAAACACTTAACTTTTAGCAAGGTTCCTAGTTCCCCTCAACTCAAGCCCCAGACAACCACAGATATATTTCTGTCCCTATATACTTCCCTATTCTGGACGTGCCATGGAAAGAGAGTCTTCCAGCCTATTGTGACTGGCTTTTTTCACCCAGCATATTTTCAGCATTCATCCATATTGTAGCATAGATGCATATTTCATTCCTTTTAACTGTCTGATAATATTCTGTTCTTAGGGATTTATCACATATTATTTATCTATGTATTAGTTGATGGACATTTGGGTTGTTTTCACTTTGAGACTCCCATCTGCTGTGGAAATATGAGCGTAAGATGAGTGTAAGTTTTTGTGTGGACATTTGTTTCATTTGAGTGCATCCTAGGAGTAGAGTTGCCATGTCATACAGTAACTCTGTTTAGCCTTTTGAGGAACTGCTGCACTATTTTCCAGAGAAGCTATACCAGTTTGCATTCCCATCAGCAGTATGTGAAAGTTTCAGTTTTCCCATCAACATTTGTTGTTTGTGGTTTTTGGTCTCTCCTTTATATGACTGAAATATATTTTATTGTTGTAGACATTTCTGTGGCTACGGCAGTAGCTACTTTATTATGGCTTTGATTTGTATTTCTTAGATAGCAAATGATGTTACGTATCTTTACATGCTTGTTCCTCACTTGTATGTCTTCTTTGGAGAAATAGCTATTCAGATTTTTTGCTTATTTTTATTGTTAGGCTCTTTTTAAATGGATCTATTGTTTTGATTTTTAACTGATAAAATACACATCAAATAAAAGTTATCTTAACCATTCATAAATATACAGTTCAGTAGCGGTAGATATAGTCACATTGTTGTGCACCTAACATCCAGAGCGCTTTTTGTCTTGCAAAACTGTACCCATGAAGGGGCTTCTCACTCATTCTCCCCCGTCCCCACCTCAACCCCAGCCCCCGGCAATCATCATTCTAAATTTGACTCCTGTATATACCCCAGATAGATAGAATCATATAGTATCTGTCTTTTCGTGACTGGTTTATTTCATTTCACATTTTGTCCTCAGGATCCACCCATGTTGTACATGTGTTAGATGTTTCCATTGTATAAATACAGCAGATCTGGTCTGTTCATTCATCCATTGATAGACGCTTAGGTTGCTTCTACCTTTTGACCCTTGTCAATAATTCTGCTGTGACAGTGGGCATACATACATTTCTTTGAGATGAAGTTCTCTTTCAGTTCTTTTGAGAATGTATACAGAAGTGGAATTGCAGGATCATGTGGTAATTCTACTTGCAGTTTTTTTTAGGGGCCACCTTAATATTTTACTATTTCACATTCCAATTAACAGTGTACAAGAGATTCAATTTTTTTATAGTAACCATTCTCATAAACACAAGGTGTTACCATGTTATCTCACTGTGGTTTTGATTTGCATTTCAAATGATTAGTGATACATAAAATTTTCATGTGCTGTTGTATATCTTCTCTGAAGAAATACCTATACAGATCCTTTGTCCATTTTTGATTGCATTGTTTATTTTTTATTATTACATTGTCAAAGCTTTTTGTGTACGCTAGATGCAAGTCTCATGAATTATAGGCTTTACAAATAATTTCTACCATTCTGTATAATGATATTCTTTGAAGCACAAAGGTTTTTAGTTTTGGTGAAATTTAATTTCACTCTTTTTTTCACTTGTGCTTTTTGAGTTTCTGTTTGGTTGGTTGGTTGGCTTTTGAGACAAGGTCTCACTGTACAGTCCAGACTGGCCTTGAATTCATTGTAAAGACCATGCTGGCCTTAAACTCATGGAAATCCTCCCATCTTAGCCTCCTGAGTGCTGAGTTTATAGGTGTGAAGCATCGGTTCTTTTGTGCTTTTTGATCCATCTAAGAAGACTTTGCCTAGTTCCAAGTCATGAACATTTAATCAGATTTTCTTATAGAGTTTTACCATTTTCACTCTTTATTAAAGTCTCTGACCTTTAGTGAATTAATTTTCATATACCATGTGAGGTGGGGGCTCTAGCTTTTCTTTGCATGTAGATATACAGTTTTCTGGTGCCATTTGTTGGAAAGATTATTCTTGTATCATTGAATTCTCTTGGTAACTTTCTCAGAAATCAGCTGACCAAAATATGAGCATTTTTTCTGGACTGTGAATTATTTGCCATTTGTCCATATGTTTCTCTTTGTACCTTGAGTTTTGAAATCAGAAAATGTGAGTTCTCCTTTTTTTTTTCAAGGATGATTTGAATATTCTAGGTTGAATTTTGGTTTTTTGTTTTGTTTTTTTACATTTCAATCCAAAACTTATTAAACTTTAAATGAGGAAGCTAAAAATAGATAAATGAATGTATTTAACACTAAGTTTTTATCCATCATGCGTATGAAAATAGGAATGCAATCCTTTTGAATCTCAATCACAGCAGAATTCCTTTTATTTTTCTGGTGCTGGATATGGTGTCTTTTTAAGATGAAAATTCTGCTGCAAGTTTTCACTATCAAAGTCTGATTCAGCACATCATAACTGTTACCACATAGTTCTTTGTGATTATGAAGAGAATACTGAGGAGAAATTTCTGCATTTCCCCAAGAATAAAGTACTGGTACAATAATCTTTACTGGAAACTGTTCAACTGTAAGTATATAATTATATGCACAGAAATTTATCTAGCAGAGAATACTACCAGATTGCCTTGAACTCACTTATGTAGCCCAGGCTGGCCTTGAATTCACTTTGATCCTCCTGCCTCAGCCTCCCAAATGCTGGGATTATAGGTATATACCTCCATGCCTGGTTCATTATCAGGACTTTTTTTTTTTAATGGGTACCGGGGATTGAACTTGCGACCACGTGCTTGCAAGGCAGGTGCTTATGCCACTGAGCTAAATCTCCAGCCCTATCAGGACTTTTTAAAAAAGTGATGTAAATCACTTGAATTTCCATACAAACTTTTGGGTCAGTCTGTCAGAACCCTTAGAAAAATCAGCAGGGTTTTGATAGGGATTGTAAATTGATTTGGAAACTATTTCCAGCATAACAATAGCAAACCTTCAGATCCATGAACATGGATGTCTGCACATTTGTTTACATGTGCTTTCTTTTTTCCAATGATTTATGCTTTTCAGAGTTTAAATTTTATACTTTAAATGGAAGACTAAATGATTTGATTCACTTTGATACTACAAGTAGCATTGTTTTCTTAATTGTACTTTCAGACTGTTGATTGCTAGTATATTCTCAGCTCATTTTGAACTCTGTTCATTATCACTGCTGGGTATTTTTGAGAATTCAAAAAACTTTTAAGTGGTTATTTCTCAAGGTCACACCTGCCTGGTTTGGGGGCTTTCCTCAAAGCCCAGTTCCGTGGCTTCTTTGTCACAGCCATCCCTTTTGCCCAGCTTTGTTCTTGGACAGTCTCATGCCCTGTTCATGGTCCTACTGCACAGATTCTGAGCTCATAAAGCCGTCCCTCCTGTTGATTGACCTTCAGCAAGGAAACCTGGACTTGGCTGGGGCACTCAGAAAGTGGTTGCTTCACCTGGCATTCTGCCATAATTTTTTTCCATATGTATGTAAATTTTGGAATATATGAATATCAGAATAAAATCTTAAAGATCCACAAGACTACCTCTTCCAGAAACTGCTGATAATGCATTTTCCTCATAATCTTTTTTCTTGCCTTTTAATTTTCTAAAGATGCCACTGCCAAAAATAGAGGCGCTAATGCATTATAATTCATTTGCTATCTAACACTGTATCATAATCATTTCCTTGTGTTAGCATGGTCTCCATAAACACTATAATGATTACAATATTCCAGGGAGTAGATGCATTATAAACTTAAGTCTGTTCTTATCGTGTTAAAATTTTATTGTAATGTTTCATTATTCTTAACATTGCCAAGAACTATATTCATAAAGTCTTTCATTTAAGAATATTTCTTTGCTTATAGATTCCTAGAAGTCAAATTAAATGAAACAAACATGGTTTTTTGTCCCTTTTTGTTATTATAATCAAATATCTGAAGTAGACCAACGTTATACAGAGGGGCCTGCTAAGCTCACAGTTCTGGAGATTCAAACTCAGTTCTAGGATGACGTGATAGCCAATGGCAGTAGCACGTGTGGGAGATAGGTAGGCAGGAGACACGATGAGATCTGGGTCCCACAGGCCCCCCAAAGGCACATCCTCCATTACCTAAGGACCTCCCACAGGGCGCCTCCCAACATCACCACACAGGGCACTAAGCACTCTACAAGTGAACCGTGGGTGAGCCACATCCAGAACACAAGCAGTGGTTTAAAGCCTTTGCCAGATGTCTTTCCTAAAATTATGCCAATTTACCTTTCCCAAGCAGTTGAAGAGTGTCCCCCTGTTACTACACATTTACCTTTTATGTTTGCAAAGGATTGATTTGTATTATAATTTTATGTTTGCAAAGAACCAATTTGTACTTCATCATTTAGTTACTAGGCTTATCATACTTCTTCCTTAATTAATTCTTCCAAACCTTTGCTGCAAATGTTTCCCTTGGTGTGCCAGATGGATGGCTTTGTTTTTCCTTTCTGTGCTCCTTGGATTTTTAAAAAGTTTATAGATAGCATCAATTATGCTGTTTCCTTTGTGAGTTCTTCTTAAAACCTGTGGTCATTTTTTTCTATGGTGTTCATGAGGTTTCACTGTCTTTTCTTGGTCTCCAGTTTCTGACGAATGTATGTGGAACTCCTCCTCCTTGTCTAGTTCCTCCAGGTTAAGTTGAAGAAGGGGAGGACAGACGCAGGGAACAGGTAGGAGCCAAAGCAGCCAGTCATGACTGCCTGATCCAGACTTTGTTTTCGTGCTTGATGTCTCCATCTTCTGATCAATGTCTGAAATTTTTCTGTTTCCTGCAAACGAAGTGTTAAGTGCTTTAGTCCAGGTGGCTAATAATGGAAACCAGAATGACATACTTTGCCATGTTAGTGGTAGTTATGGTAGGATAGATGGTAGTATAGTTGTTTGCTTTATTTGTTCTTTTTAATTTTCCAAATTGTCCATTGGGAGTCCTTTTTAGAGTAATAAATATTTTCCAAAAGTTGAAAGATTTCAGAATCAACAAGTAGAGTCTTTGATAGGATGTAACCTTTTCCTTATCTCCAGAGAGGCCACCAGGGTAGAGGGGCAGTTATGAGACAGGAGCAGTGTCTCCAGGTGTCTCAGCTGGAACATGGCTGTAGCTGGGTCATGTGGGTACCAGGGCTCCTGGGTTCTTTCCTTACTTCTTGCCCAGCTGGATTCACTCCTGCTTGCGGAAAGCTGACAAAAACAAAGACAATAAGATGAGCTTCAAGGAGCTACAGAACTTCTTGAAGGAGCTCAACATCCAAGTGGATGACAGCTATGCCCGAAAGATCTTCAAGGTGAGGCAGGGTCTGTGTGGCAGTGGAGCCCTGATCTGCCCAGGCCTCTTCTGAGCCTTACCCTCATGGCTGTTTTGGCTTCACAGGAATGTGACCACTCACAGACGGATTCCCTGGAGGATGAGGAGATTGAAGTCTTCTACAGGATGCTGACCCAGCGAGTGGAGATTGACAATGCTTTTGCAGAGGCTGCAGGCTCAGGGGAGACCCTGTCAGTGGATCAGTTAGTGACATTCTTGAAGCATCAACAGAGAGAAGAGGAGGCGGGACCCGCGCTGGCCCTGTCCCTCATCGAGCGCTATGAGCCCAGTGAGACTGGTGAGGGCCTGGCGATCCCAGGGCCACATGCCTGGGAGAACCCCAAGAATACTGCAGCCAGAGACAAGGGGTACCAGCTCAGGGCTTCTGGGACGGATGTGCTCGCCTGCAAAAGCTCCTCTCTGGATCCCTTTCCCTCTTGTTCCTCTCTCAGAGGGCCTTGAGGACCCCTCCTCAAGAAAAAGTAAAAGAAGTGGCCAGAAAAGCCATGCTATTCCTACCTTCTTCTCTGAGTCCATTCTGGGCCCACCTTTGAGATGTGATAGAACAGAAAAGATGGAGCCTGGCTTTAGAGGGCGTTCCCATGTAGGGGCACCGAGAAGGAGATGAGACCCTGCTCTCCAAGGCTCTCAGAGAACAGAAGAGGAGGAGGCAGGGCCTCACTCTGGGAAAACCACGGTTTTGGATAGAGACAGACTTCCACTTTCCAGTGCTATTGAGAACCAACTGGGATGTGGAGGCAGAGGGAGGAGAGGGGCCCTGCTTCTGGAGTGGTAGCCAGCACTGACCAGTAATGGGGACCTCCTTCTTCCCAGCCAAGGCACAGCGCCAAATGACCAAGGATGGCTTTCTCATGTACCTGCTGTCAGCTGATGGCAGTGCCTTCAACCTGGTGCACCGGCGAGTCTATCAAGACATGAACCAGCCACTTAGTCATTACCTGGTATCCTCCTCACATAACACCTACCTGTTGGAAGACCAGCTCACTGGGCCCAGCAGCACTGAAGCTTACATTCGGTGCGGTCCAGGGAAGCCTTGGGGGGGTGCGTTGGTGGGATCCAGGACGGGACCTGGAGGGTCCTAGCTGCATGCCTACTTGCAGGGCCCTGTGCAAAGGCTGCCGCTGCTTGGAGCTTGACTGCTGGGATGGGCCTAACCAGGAGCCGATCATCTACCATGGCTATACCTTCACTTCCAAGATCCTCTTCAGTGATGTGCTCAGGGCCATTCGGGACTATGCCTTCAAGGTAGGTGTGCCCTGTAGGTGAGGAGGGGATACCAGGGGCAGCAAGCCCTCCTAACATGCCCTTGGACTTCCAGGCCTCCCCCTACCCAGTCATCCTGTCCTTGGAGAACCACTGCAGCCTGGAGCAGCAGCGTGTCATGGCACGACACTTGCGTGCCATCCTGGGGCCACTGCTGCTGGACCGGCCACTGGATGGAGTTACCAGTAACCTGCCTTCCCCAGAGGTATGTGTCGGGGGGGGAGGGTGCCCAGAAGGAAGGGCAAGAGCTGCTGAGAGGCCAGGTGGACCCTGACCAATTGCCCTTCCATCCCTAGCAACTGAAGGGGAAGATCCTGCTGAAGGGGAAGAAGCTCGGGGGTCTACTGCCCCCTGAAGGGGAAAGTGGCCCCGAGGCAACTGTATCAGATGAAGATGAGGCTGCTGAGATGGAAGATGAGGCTGTGAAGAGCCGGGTGCAGCACAAGTCCAAGGTTCAAGAGGGAGCTGTGGGGGCGGAGTAGACCCAGGGCCTTCCCCACGCCCATGGGCGTTCGCCTTGTCTCAGTTCTCTGTGGCTGCCATTCAGACCCTCTGCCCCTTCTCTCTGTCTGTCTCCCACTGTCTGTCTGTGTCAGGGTTTCTGCTCTCAGTGCTCACCCTGCCCAACCCCTAGCTCTAACCGGGGCCTCCCCATGGCCCCCAGGAGGACAAGCTCAGACTGGTGCAGGAGCTCTCTGACATGGTCATTTACTGCAAGAGTGTCCACTTTGGGGGCTTCTCTGAGGCTGGCCTCTCCAGGCAGGCTTTTTATGAGATGGCATCTTTCTCTGAGAACCGTGCTCTCCGAATGCTCCAAGAGTCAGGTGAGTCCCTCCCTGCAAGCAGAGGGTGCTACCCAGCTGCCTGGCCCTGTGGGCTGGCCAGGGCTGGTCCTGGCCTCTCTCTACTGACTGAGCCACACTTCTCTTCAGGAAACAGCTTTATTCGCCACAACGTGGGCCACTTGAGCAGGATCTACCCGGCAGGATGGAGAACAGACTCCTCCAACTATAGCCCTGTGGAGATGTGGAATGGGGGCTGCCAGATCGGTATGGGCCTGCTGGGGCTTGAAGAAGCTGGAGGGGGGCGCTTCAGTTCTGAGGTCACCGGCCTGGAGCCTTGCAATATGAGGCCTGGGAACCTAACCAGAATCAGTGCAGGAGTCTATGGAGCTGTAAACTGTAAATATCTCCCTGCCAGCAAGTCAGTGTCTGAAAATGCAGTTATCACTTCACCTATGGAGTTTTACCTCCAGAAACTATACTTGTGGTTAGTGTGCTAGAAAGAGGGCAATAGTCATTGGGTGATACTGGATTCTGCTTCTGCCTCATCACGGGACCCTAGGCCTCAGTGTATCCTACACAGGCTGAGCTCCATGGCCTTGAAGCCAGCCCACAGTCTGTGACTTCTTCGTCTTGCCTGTAGTGGCCCTAAACTTCCAGACACCTGGGCCAGAGATGGATGTGTACCAAGGCCGCTTCCAGGACAATGGAGCCTGTGGGTATGTGCTGAAACCTGGTTTCCTGAGAGACCTCAACACCACCTTCAATGCACGTGCTGTGACTCGAGGGCCCTGGTGGGCTCCAAAGAGGCTCAGTGTGAGGGTATGGCCAGATCCAGAACTGATAGGTGCCCTTGGTCCTCCCTTCCCCCTCTCTGCCATTCCTGAACCCTTAATTACCCATCACCTTTTCTCAGGTCATCTCAGGGCAGCAACTGCCAAAAGTCAACAAGAATAAGAACTCGATCGTAGACCCCAAGGTGACAGTGGAGATCCATGGTGTGGGCCGAGACATGGCCAGTCGCCAGACTGCCGTCATCACTAACAACGGTGCGTGCTAGGTCTGGAATGGGCCCAGCTCCTGGAGCTGATGTCCCTGCTGTTGATACATGATTCTTGTCCCTTCAGGCTTCAACCCATGGTGGAACACAGAGTTCGAGTTTGAAGTGGTTGTGCCTGAGCTTGCCCTTGTCCGCTTTGTTGTGGAGGACTATGATGCCTCCTCCAAGAACGACTTCATTGGCCAGAGCACCATCCCCTGGCACAGCCTTAAGCAGGGTGAGTGTCTGTTGGGGTGTGTGAAGGGCCATGGCTGGGGAGGCAGGGCCTGGCTTCTTTCGGGCTGGAACTGGCTGTGCCTTGGCACATCCTCCCTGAGTAACTGGAACTTTCCTTCCTGCCTGTCTGCCTGCCAGGATACCGCCATGTCCACCTTTTATCAAAGAATGGAGACCAGCATCCATCAGCTACCCTTTTTGTGAAGATCACACTCCAGGACTAAGGTGTCTGATGGGGTCTGCTCTGGTTGGGCTTGGCCCTGTGTCCACATCTGGATCCAGGACTGGTGTGACTACTCCAGCCTCTAGCACTGAGCCAGAGGCCCTCAAACTGCCTTTTGCTCTAACATATTGTCAATGCTGCTGCCTCTGTGGGGGTCCCAGGAGCTGGCTAAGTGCCTACAACTGTCCTTAATTCCGTTAAGAACACTGCAGCCCTCTGTACCCTTTGGCCAACCTTACGTTGAGAGTTTTTAAAAGAACTACGTTGAAAGCCTTGTGATCTCTTTGCCTGAACACAGAAAGTCCTCTGGGAAGCACGCATATGTGTGTACCTTCCCCATGTTCACTGGATTGTCTGGAGAGAACAGCAAGAAGACAACCCCTCTGTGGAGGACATAGCCTACAGGGTCACAAAGCCTTGTCCCTAGAGAGGGGAACCCACCATGTGATTGGGCTTAAAGGCACATGTACCACACCCAGTGCAGGCCACCAGCGTTTATTGTCAAGGGGGCTGGGAGCTCCAAGGGGATGGGAGCACATTCCCCTCAGCTCAGAAGAAACCCAGCTTCTTTTTCTCCTGCTGCTGCTTCCACTTGGCCATGCTGTAGAACTCTTCCTTGGATTTCCCAAAGATATCTTGGAAATCAGAATCTGAGAGATAGAACTGGAGGGTGGGGAAGGAGTGGATGCAGGGAAGGGAGTCACTGGTGCCCAAAGTTCTCTGAGGGCACCACGCTGTCCTGCATCTGTCTGCCCAGCACCTGTCCAGAACACATCTCCAAGGCCGATCGCCCAGCACAGGTCTAGATAGATGTTCTGCTGCTGGCCCAGTGAGTGGCAGGGCCTGGGTGCTCACCTCCTTGCGGGTGGGGTCCACACCGTGTGGCAGGTCTGCAGCATCCTGGTGCATCAGACGTTCCCGGGGCAGATTCCCACTGACTGCTGAGCAGGTGTCACTGACACAGCTGCTGGCCCTTGCCTTGGTGCTGGCAGTCCTGGTATTCCTCCTAGGGCCCAGCTCCAGCTCCTTCTGTGAGCTGTCCTGGGCCAGCAGGGCTGAGTGGCCTGTCCTCCTGTTGTCTGGCCATTGGGATGGCTGAAAGTTGTTAACTTCCTATCCAGAGAGGAGTCTCAGGCTGGGATACATGGGGAATAGGCAGGCCACAGAGACGCTACACTGAACTCCCTAGCCTCTTGCCCTCCATAACTATAGCCCTGCGGCCTACCATTGCCTAGCCCCTGCTAATGTCTACCATCCATGTCATCTGAGTCCTGACCACTGCAAGAGGCATCCAGGGACCCCAGTACTCACCGCTGTTATCTCAGAGATGGCAGACCCTGATCCCAGGCTGCCCTCCATCACTTCCTCATAGGGCTGGTTGTTCTGGGGATAAGAATCAGGGCTGGGGCAGGAGAGCCAGGAAGGACTTGAGGAAGAAACCAGGTCTCACATGCTAAAGGCCCTTCACCAGAAGAGTACCCTCCCCCATATTAGACTGGGGATGGACATTTCAGGCCTCACTTACCATCCACTTGTAGGGGTCCCAAGTAAAGAACCATCCTGAGAAGGTGAGAGGCTCGTGGCCCTGCTTGACCAGCGTGATGGGTGTGGCCAGGCTCCTCCCTGCTGGGTGAGTCTTCAGATACTCCCGGCCCCAGGCCACTGCCTCCTTCTTCCACTCACCTGCATCTTCTCCAAGCCACAGGAAGACCTGGGTCACAGAGGGGGCCTAGCCTTGTGCAGATGGATTGGCTGCCTGGAGCCAACCACCTCATCCCACTTTCTGCCTGTTGGATGAGCCCAGAACTTGTATGCACATTCCTGGTCAACTAGACATGCCCGTCAATTCCATCAATACCACAGGCATGCATGCAACATGCAAAGCTTTACCTAGCACCCATCACATGCAGGCACTGGGGATTCAACAATGAAAAACTGGGCAAAATCTTTGCCCTTGTATAGGTTTCATAAAGGAGCAAGTTATTTTTGTCTAGGGAGAAAGTGAAGAAGTAACAGTCCCTGAAGTGGTGGGATGTTTAATGTTCCGGAGAACAAGAAGGGGGCCATAAAGACTGAGCAGAAATAAGGGGAGAGTAGGGGGAAATCAGGCCAGAGCTGGAGCTGGCTGGGTCAGGGGGGGCTGCAGGAGGGCTTGAGTTTATCTCTGGCTGAGATGAGAGCCCACAGCCTCATCACTCACTCACAGTGTGGCAGACACACCCCACACAGATGCACTGACACAGAGACAACCATCCATTGCTATGCAGCAGACGTAGTCATTCACTGTTGTGAAACAAAGCTGTACAAGCAAGCAACCACACTTGATTAGCAGTTAAACAGAACCAGCCAGTTACACCACTGTAAAGTCACACAAGCATAACAGCATAGACACAGTCACTCAGTCACCCACAGCTGTTCTGGTTTTCCCTGCCCACAGCCTCACCAGCTGTAACTAGTCTGGCCAGGTAAGTTAAAGGCATGCACAGTCACAGGGAATCATACAGTGACACGAAGTCAGTCCTTACATTACAGTCGCTCAGCACTGATAGTGTTTAGCCGCAGCATGCAGTCACTTGAACTCACACAGGATCTGAGAGTACCCAGTTAAAACAACACATTTGGTCACAGTCATACAAGTCCCAGCCCAGAGTCATAGTTTCCTGCAGTCTCACTGCTGTCACTGTAATACAGACTCACCCATGGTCTGCTGTTGCACAGTTGCAGTCATCATGGGGTTACACATTGCACACTCAGGTGGCTGGACAAATACAGACACACCTCTATCACACCCCAACAGCCAAGGGTGGCTGCATTACCTCCTGCCAGGTGTCCAGTAACATGATGTCATACTTGTCCAGATCCTCTTGGCCAAAGAACACCACTTCTGTGAGGACCAGGCAGCCCATCTGGCTGGAGCACTCAAAGAGTCGTGGCTGGAAGCTGGAAGCCTCCCCAGGGAGCCTGGCCAGCATTGGTGACAGCAAAGTTGTGAGGAAAGTCAAGGGTGCCACTCCTCCACTCCTGGGTCAAGCTGGCCCTCCTTGAAAGGGTCCCCAGCCCAGAAGAGGAAAACAACTTCTCTGAGGTCTGCACTTTCCCCACCCCATACTTCCTCCAGGAGTACCTGTTCCCAAGTTGCAGAGAAAGCTGGTAAGGTAATCTGTCTATCCACAGCCAGCTGTAATACAAGCTTCCCAGAAACTGGCATTAGGAAAGGGGAGAGCTGCTCGGGGGGTAGGGCCTGAGCCAGGATTGGAGGGTCCAGTGGATATTCTAACAGGGAGGTGGCTTGAGGTCCAGTGTGGAAGGAAGAAAGCTAAGCTGGGTGAGGGGATAGTGGAACAGAGCTCAGGAGACTTGGTGTGGAGTATGATGCGAAGACAAGCCCCATAGACACATCAAGAGCACCCTGAGACACAGCTCCCTCTTCCTGGAGGCTTCTCTCTGCCCCTGGTACTTTGCCCAGAACAGCAACAATGCAGGGAGTGGATTCTGCCAGCAGAGGGCACCACTGCGATGCTTGCCTAGGCATCCTGATCCAAATTACCCAGGATGGGAGAGTGAAGTGTGGGCTTGGGGTTGAGTGCTGGAGTCTCTAATTCCAGTCATGTCTCAGCTCTCTTTACAACCCTATTTAGTGGCCCATACTCTCAGTGTCAAAATATCTTCCTCCCAACCCTGTTACCTCTTGCTGGGGTAGGGGGCCCGGCCTCCTAGCACCTCCCAGAAGCGGGGAGGCTCCTGACCCTCCAGAACAGTTTCCTTGTCATTTCCGGAGATGACGGTGACTACCATCCGTGCCATCTCACGCTGGTCACCGTTAGAGCCCTGGCAAACACAGAGCTGGATAAGCCCCACAGGGTGCATGCATCTCACCCACTGGGGCCTGTAGGACAGCCTAAGCTTACAGTGCAGTGTGTATGAGCACAGGACCTCATTTTCCCCACTATTCAGGGTCATAGGATCTGGAACCCTCTGTGGATCCAGAGCGTGGATGGAACTCAGGATTGCTGATTAATCCTGGTTCACGCCAGAGATCAGGGAAAATTCCAGTAAAGTAGACTAGGCCTCCCCCACTTCTCTCAAGAGACTTGGAAGGACTATGTTTGATGTTCAAGGAAGGAAGGAGGGGAGGTAGCTTGTGCTAAGCCCTGGGGGACTCCCAGGTGCCCCTGTCACTTTCCTCCTCTAACCTTCATTGGCCTATCTTGGGTTGAACTAGAAGCCTCACCAGTGGAGGGGACCCATCCCAGTCTACCACCACTGTCCCAGCTGTGAGTCAAGTGACCAGTGCTACATGTACCTTCCCAAACCAGAGATAGCAAGCATCAGCTGTAACCAGCAAGAAGATGTCACTGGAGCTGAGGGATGAGGCGCGGGCTGGCACCTCTAAGGTCTTGGTGTTGCGGTTCTCAGTGCCTTGTACATGGAAGAGTCTAGTGGTGCATGCTGACTGCCCCCTACCATTGTCTCCAGTGATCTCCTGCAAGAGGACTGGGCCTTAGGTGGAAGCAAGGGCTACAGGTGGCTGCCTTCCTGTCCCAGGAGAACCGACTGCCTCAGAGCTCAGGCTCAGGCTCAGGTTCCCACTGTCTTTTGGACTCTTTCTACATGGACCCCTCACTCCATCTCTGAGAGGTCAGGGTAGTTGCTCCGGCTTTGAAGGCAGAACATGTGGCCACTTTGGGCTCCACCTGCTTTGCACCCAGTCACGGGACCAGGGGAAGAAACTGAGGTGGGGGTCATCCTTGGAGCTTCTGGGCCTGGGACAAGCACCAAGAGACCAGGGGCTGAAATGCTGGCCCCGGGCCTGAAGAGAAGGTACTTAGCAAGTGGGTGGAAGGCCACGGGTACATGGAAGACAGTGAAGCTGCCACCACAGTGGCAGAGTGGTGCCTACCTGGAAGACCACCAGCTGACCCTGGAAGATGGCAAGGAAGTGGGGGGGCTCACTGCCCATGGTCACATGCACCTGCACCAGGGCTCCCTGGTACATGAGGTCCAGCTCCTCAGCATTGCAGATCAGGGCCTTGCTCTCATCTGCCATGGCCTGGTGGCCCTGTGGGAGTTGAGGAGTGATGGTCTGAAGCAGCTCACAGTCTCATTTATTCTCAGATCCCAGCTCTTGGGCTTTAAGGTGTGTACCCGCTGCCTCAGGTCCATGCACCTGCCACAAGTACAAGATGTACTGGACACGACCCAGCTTCTGGTACGTGTAGAGGACAAGGTAGCAACTTCCCGAGCTCAGCTGGCCATGATGCTTGGGGTCC